CCAACGATCTGCTCATGACCTCGATCCTCAAACAGTAACCCTTTGCCTGGAGCCGATTTTATATACCGAATAATGCGGAAAACTGCATCCCAATGACTATCACAGGGAGAATTTATAAACTGACTTACAACACTCACATGGTAAAAAATGTCGGGTCTAGTCACTGTGAGATAATTTAATTTTCCAACCAGCCGCCTATAGCTTGCAGGATCGCTAAGCGGCTCCCCTGTCCTGGCAGAAGTTTAGAATTCAGATCCATCAGAGTGTCAACAGGTCTGCAACCTATCATCCCTGTCTCCTCAAGAATGTCTAAAGCATATTTTCTTTGAGAAATAACAATACCTGAGCTAGACTGGGCAACCTTAATACCTAGAAAGTACTTCAATTTGCCTAGATCCTTAGTTTGAAAGTGTTGGAAAAGATGCTGCTTCAGATTGGTAATACCATCCTGATTATTGCCAGTAATAACAATATCATCAACATAAACTACCAGATAAATACAGAGACTTGAAGCAGAGTGCTGATAAAACACAGAGTGATCAGCTTCACTATGAGTCATGCCAAACTCCTGGATAACCGTGCTGAACTTACCAAACCAGGCTCGAGGAGACTGCTTTAGACCATAAAGTGACCGACGCAAGCGACATACAAGGCCACGAGACTCCCCATGAGCAAAAAACCCTGGTGGTTGCTCTATATAAACCTCATCCTAAATATCACCGTGAAGAAATGCATTCTTAATGTCCAACTGATAGAGGGGCCAATGACGAACCTCAGCCATGGATAGAAAAAGGTGGACTAAAGCCACTTTAGCCACGGGAGAGAAGGTATCACTATAATCGAGCCCAAATATCTGAGTATATCCTTTGGTAACAAGACGGGTCTTAAGCCGATCAATCTGGCCATCGGGACCAACTTTGACTGCATAAACCCAACGACAACCAACAATAGATTTACCTGAGGGAAGAGGAACAAGCTCCCAAGTACCACTTGTATGTAAAGCAGACATCTGGTCACTCATAGCCTGTCGCCATCCTGGATGAGACAACGCTTCACCTGTAGACTTAGGGATGGAAACCGAGGACAGAGAAGATATAAAAGCATAATGGGGAGATGACAGACGANAGGACAAAAAAGATATAAAAGCATAATGGGGAGATGACAGACGATGATAGCTCAAACCGACATAATGAGGATTAGGGTTAAGTGTGGTCCGTATACCTTTCCGAAGTGCAATCAGTGTACTAGGATCAGGGTCCGCAGCAGGAGCAGGGTCAGGTGCAGGACGAGAACCAGTTGGGCCTGATGTAGGGCGTGAACGACGATGATAAGTCAAGAGTGGTGTTCCTGTGGCTGGGGAACTAGGAGGAGCAACACTAGACTCCTCAACGGTTGGTATGGATGAAACCTCCATCGTCAAAGGTAGAGGAGGAGCTATAGTAAACTCCTCAAAGGTCAGTATAGGTAAGACCTCAGATATATCATGGTGGTCAGCAGAAGTGAAGAACGGTTTAGACTCAAACAATGTGACGTCAACTAACATAAGATACCTACGAAGATCTGGAGAATAACAACGATATCCCTTCTGAACACGAGAATAACCAAGGAAGACACACTTGAGAGCACGAGGAGCTAACGTATCTTTCCCAGGAGCTAAGTTATGAACAAAACACGTGCTCCCAAAAATACGGGGTGGAAGAGAGTATAAGGGTGACTGGGGAAACAATACTGAATGAGGAATCTGATCCTTGATGGGAGATGAAGGCATCTGATTAATCAAATAACAAGCTGTGAGAACTGCATCGCCCAAAAACGCAACGAAACATGAGATTCAATTAGAAGTGTGCGAGCAGTCTTAATAAGATGCCTATTCTTTCTCTCAGCAACCCCATTTTTCTGAGGGGTATAAGGACAAGATGTCTGATGAATAATTCCTTGAGAAGTCATAAACTGCTGAAATTGGGAAGATAAATATTCTAAGGCATTATCAGTGTGAAAAATGCGAATAGAAACACCAAATTGGTTTTTGATTTCAGCACAGAAACTCTAGAATACATAAAATAACTCAGAACGATGTTTCATTAAGAAAATCAAAGTACATCTTGAATAATCATCAATGAAACTAACAAAATAACGAAATCCCAAGGTTGAACTAACTCTACTAGGACCCCATATGTAACGACCCGACCAGTCGTTTTGAGTACCACATCTCCGTTACCCAATTACTGCTCAATTTATGCTTTACAGTTATTTTATGACTTACCAGGTTAGTTGATTCGGGTCCGGAAGGAATTCGGAGTGAAATGAGACACTTAGTCTCATAATTGAAAATTTTAAGTTAGAAAAGTGACCGGATATGGACCTATGTGTAAAAAACCTCAGATTTGAATTTTGATGATTCCGATAGCTCCGTATGGTGATTTTGGACTTAGGAGGGTGTCTGGAAAATTATTTGGAGGTCCGTAGAGGAATTAGGCTTGAAATGCCGAAAGTTGAATTTTTGGGAAGTTTGACCGGGGGGTTGACTTTTTGATATCGGGGTTGAAATCCGATTATGAAAATTTTAATAGGTCTGTTGTATTATTTATGACTTGTGTGCAAAATTTGAGGTCAATCAGACGCGATTTGATATGTTCCGAAGCCATTTGTAGAAATTAAAAATTTCAAAGTTCATTAAGCTTGAATTATGGTGTAATTCATGGTTGTAGCGTTGTTTGAGGTGATTTGAGGGTTCGACTAAGTTTGTATGATGTTTTAGGACTTGTTGGTATATTTGGTTGAGGTCCTGAGGAGCTCAGGTGAGTTTTGAATGGTTAACGGATAAAAAATTTGGACTTGAACATCTGCTGGAATTTTCTGATATCTGATGTTGTTTTTCTTCTACGCGATCGCGTGAATGTGTCTGCGATCGCGTAGGCTTAGTTGGTCAGTGGAGGTTTTTGTTCTACGCGATCGCATGGGGATATCTGCGATCACGTAGGGTCAATATGAGGCAGTGATATTTTGTGCTTCGCGTGCGCGTGAAGCGGGATGCGATCGCTTAGATATGTGAGGTTTTTATTCGCGAACGCGTGAAGAAGGGATGCGATCGCTTAGATATCCGCATTCACGTAGAGAAAATGGGACAGAAATGGATATCACGTGTTTGTGCTTCGCGATCGCGTAGGTCTGTGATGTAGTGCATCGCGATCGCGATCGCGTGGGAAAGTCCGCGATCGCATAGAGTTAAATCCGGGCGATGGAAAATCATTCTTCGCGATCGTGTGAGAATGTTCGCGATCGCGTAGAGCAAATGTCTGGGCAGAGAGTTTATGTTCTGAAAATGGGACTTCGTCCCATTTTTCATTTTTGACGGATTGGAGCTCGG